AGTTCGGGATCATCAGTTAGACATTCTGGTGGCTTTAAAACCGCCTCATCTATTCCCCAGTTCAGATTTTGGTGGTAGTACTGATGTCTCAGCCATTCAACGTCCAAAGTATAGACCTTCCTTCTAACTTTGGTAGGTCAACCGTTAGCGATAGCCGATCCTGTGCAATGCGGTAATCCGGATTCAACAGTTTGTCTCACAATAACGGAAAGATTGGAAAATTGCAAATTTTTCAGCAAAAAGAACCTCTCCAAGCACAATACGGTCTATTCGATGCGGACAACTCAATAGACACAGTTAATCAGCAGAAAAAACGTATGAGCAGCAGTAATTAGGCAGTTTCTTCAGTACAATAAAATGCGCGTTGATTTTTATTGAACGATTCAAAATTTAATCTCATCGAAATTCTTACCACCAACTTAACTTGTTGGACTCTGCCTAGGACAAACATGGTATCCGTTTCTCAAGGCTAATTAATAATTGAACGCCAGGGTTTTACCGTTATTAGAAGCTCCATACCGTTGACAGACCGCGGTGCATTAGCCGGGCTCCTGTCCATAAGGGACCATGTGTTGAAAATCTCCTAAGTGTTATTTTGGGTAGCCCTTTTACATCCGTCCGGAATTGAGCACTTATTCAAGACACATACTTGGAGAACTCCATCACTGTTTACTTTCAGTAAATGCCATCGAGTACTTTTCATCATACCCAGAGTTGACACAAATCATAAGTAGGCCGACTTCCGTGAGACACAGACATGAAACAACCGGATTAGTTAGTCACAGTTGAACTTTTTTTCCTCCATCATCCTACTTTCCATATGACCTGCCAGTCTTTAGAGTATGTCCTCGAGTTTCATAATGATTTATCCCAAGGATTCTTCTGCTCTTCGACCACATAAAGAGTCGAAATCACAGATTACTTTAATGACGATACCATACCGTCCCACTCTCTCGTTTGCACTCAATGAAATGCCTGGGGCTTTCCTCCCACCACTCACTAAGTGCGGAAGCAAAGCGAATTCCGAAGTTCTTGTAGGTTTCTGGGAATAATAACATCGAATGCAGTGCCACTGAGCGAGAAATCGACCTAATAATATTGATATCTTTCTGGCAGAAATTGCCATTTTTGTACAAGAAACCGCTGGAGCCATTCAGTTACACGCAGTGGGATCGAAGAACACAGCCAGTCAAGGGAAAATGGTTAATCAGAATAGCAACCTGATGAGTCAAGAAAAAATGACATTCTTATTTCGTTTAGAGTCGTGAAACAAACGTGAATATGCCAAATCAAACAGTCGTCTTAAAAGGCAGAATTATTTCCTGTCATTTTTTGCTTCGCATGCCCATGACTTTCCCAAGCATTATTCTTTCCACTAGTTCGAGCATGATGGCGATGATGGTGCGATTGTGGTCAATGCATTTCCAAAGCTTAGACGAATTCATAAGTGGATTGAGTGAGCCTGCTAGGTGGTCTTGAGAAAGCTGCCTTTGTGGTATAGATCCCTGGTGCCAAGTTGTCTCATCACTTACTCAAAAATCGGTTACTGATAGCTCGTCATTATTCTTGATTGATAGCACCCATCTTTTATTAAGGATGACGTGAAATACCATCCGTTAATAACTCCAGCTTGTGGCCTCATGTTGACGCTGTTTTTACCACAGTTATTTACCTTAAATCTCGTTTGACACTTTGTTAGTGCATTTGTTTTCCGCCTTGCACTTTCCGTTTCTCTGCCGTATTTATCGACCCTCTACAGGAAGGTCACCTACGCGTAGTTAAATTACCTAAATCATCCCCAAGTACGACAGAACAAATCGGCGCTTGTAGAGCTTTGCTCACAAAGCGTTATTGGATGGCCAGTGCGTGTCTTTTGCATTAACCCATTTCGATGGCTCACACGTGATCCAAGTAAGACAAATATATCCGCAAAAACTACTGACTACCGTGAGGATGGGTGCTTTCGAAAATGTAGCTCGTTTCATGACTCGCTGTTACCTTATTTGAGCTGCAATTCATCTGCTTTACCGAAGGTGTACCTAATTTTGTATAAAGGTACCAGTCGCTAAAGCCGAAAATTCAACTCCCGGGGCGCTACTTGACTTAATATAAAGACATTTTTTAATCATGCCAGGACCCTTGCTTTTAAATGTTTAGATATTTTGTACTTTTAAAGCTGGTGAACTTCCATGATGTATAAACCCTCCGGATGTATTGTTGTGTTTCTGCAAATGGCTGGGCTACGCACCGTCACTAGGTGTCCTCAGAATCTCAATTTGTTCACCAACCTGACAAATAACTACCGTTCGAGCAAACCCACAGACCAAGTTTCAATCGCCCTGCAGATAAGATCCAATGGAACCCACGAGGGTCCACCGACTGCCTATTACATCACCGAGTATGAAGCCCATGAGATGTTTCCCTCGTTGGTACGGCTATCTCTGAAGCGCCGGATATTTATGGTACTAATAACGTGTGGAGTGACACTGACTAGATGTGTGTCTTCGTCCATCGAAGAACTTATCCAAAAAGATGAAGTGGTTCTTCTCTGCCTGACGATGTTAGTCCTTGCAAAATCCTAATATCGACCCCGCAAACCAGAGCGAACCTCCACTTTTGTCATTTATTTCCGCCTACTTACAAGTAGACTGATTCCTTCTCAAGCGTTCTCGATCTTGCTCACATTCACTGCACGCTGCACTCCGTGTTTCCATATTTTCTGACGTGATTAGGAGAGAGCTTTCCGTCCGATCCGTAGCCCCTTTGTGTACATCGGATAAACCAAACCACTGCAGTGGACCCGAAGTTAGCAATTTCTGACCGCAAGATACATTTTCGGTTAATTTGGTAACTGCCCAGCAGAAAAAAGCGGATTCGTAGGGTAAAAATTCATGTTATTTCTTGTCTGAGGTGGACCTTCTTTGCAATAGACTGGGTGATTTATTTCGGTCTGCTAGCTGTTATCAGTGAAGAAAGATAGTGATTTCCCAGGAGTTGAATTTTACTGCCGTTTTTATTAAAAAACAGGCTTTGTTAGTGTGATTAACCTTCCATTACCATAGAATGTTCAAATAAAATTAAATAAATAAATAAATGAAATAAATATTAAATAGACAAGTAAAAGAAATTATAATAAATGTATACATATAATAAATAAACTTATATGGAACTGGACACTAGGCACTTTGTGTTCAGCAAATTTTTTCACCCACGTGTAACTGGATGTGAACGTTTAGAGACGAATCGGTTGTGATCATATACTTCAGTTTCCTTCTGAACACCCGACAGTATGTGTATTCCAACGGTGCTGTGTTCAAATTTTTCTGTAATGGCATATTTGTTGCAAGCATTACTAATTTGAGGGCAAAATGTTGTTGCCCATGCAGAAGTTTTTTTCGCCAAATCAGTGATCCTCAAACTTCTGGATGTAACAGGCATGTTTGAACAAGTAAATCGATAGGTTTCAAGAGGAAAGGGAAGACACGTCAGAAGAATTTGGTTGAAACTTTACCATACTTTTCATGAGGTGGAATGCAATTCAGCTGAAGCAAGACACCAATATTTCAGAAAGGTTTGGTTAATAATCGGTATACCGTTTACTGACATCTAAGAAAATAGCACAAAACACTTTAAGTTTGATGGGATGTTTGGTCAAGTTAGGGGGCAGCAAACTCCAGATTTGGGTGACATCTGAACCAAACGTCCAAAACAACAATGCCACTTTCATCAAGATGGGAGCTGTTTCCACACTTCAACAAGGGTTAACTTTCTGCCCCCATCACAGAACTTCTACATTTTCAACAATGTTCAATAAGCTAAGAGAGCTGTGTACAGATGAGGCCGAACAAGTAGCAGCATAAATATGATACCCCTCGAGTCACCGAGTATACGATGAGCCTTATTAAACGGCAACTAAGAGAGATATTTGACCCATCATCAGGACCCAACAGCGAGCTTGTAGTCATTCGTTAAAAAACTGGTACATTTGAAGTTGTTAATAAGGGTGTTAGATGGAGCTTAGTGTAACCTTCGACAGAAATATTTGCGCCAGTTATGTTTCGATTAAAGTATCGCTTCCATGCTGAGAGCTGTGTATACGATAGTTTACATAAGCCGAACTGTCAGTTGATTGAGCACTAGAATCGATGAGCATAAGGGACACCCAAACGGACGATCAAGGAAAGCATATGAATATCGCACGACAGTTGAAGATGTGGAAATAACATAACATGCACTGGACAAATAGAAAATTTTGGAAATTTGGAGGGTTTGAGTTATCTCTCGGTAGTCAAATTTTGATCACTGGATTCCGAGAGAGAAAGGAGAGTGCACATTTGGAATGAGAGGTGATACAAATTAGGATAAAGTATGGTTGTCATCCGCACTGAGTTCTCTAAATGTCATGCATGGAATTATCTGAAAGCTCAGAAAGACTACAGGGCGCTAGATAACACGTACTTGGACGTGCTAGATGAGTAGCTTAATACGTCTTGCTTTGATAGGCGGAAGTAGGATGCCCCCAAATACTACTGCCAGAATCATTTCCGTGTCGACCAGCAGCGCTAACTAAAACGACTTCAAAGCTTACTTCATACGTGAAGGACTTAGTCGCATCCACTGCCAATGGCGGAAGTACCTATGCGAATGAGTTTATTAATCATCGGCTGGTCATCTTGCTACACGGTATATATTCGGCACATACAGATGGGAAGTTGTGGCGGAGCGATTGGTACAGAGTCCCTGTTGCATTTAGCTGATCTAGATAACCCTGGATTCCGTGTTTACTGATCTGCCGTCGGCAGAAATAGAATCCGCCATCTGGGAGCGTTTCTGTATTTGTCCAAGAGTCTGTCAAGACTAACCACGATGTTGCTACATATTCGGCAAAGTGACTCGGCATTTCAAATGATAGTATTTCCGTTTGTAGACAAGCTTTTTTTAAAAAAACGCTTTGCGGAGAGTGAACTGCTCAGCCGGAAGTGGATTTGCACAACTTACCGCTTACGATTCGTACAACCCTCCACAGTCGGAACACGATTAACAAACCAGCAGCTGCGCCGAATGCGTCCAAAGCTCCTCTTCCAATACCGAGGCCAGATTCGTGGGAGTCACCATGTGAGTTCTGCATGTGAATCGCGTGGTCAGCAATAACAACGGCATCGATAACAAGGCTCACGATAGTCACACAGGCATCCAGCACTTCTAGCCATTGGGTAAAGAAGTGTCTCGGTCCAACAGCAATCAGTTTGAGCGTCAATTCCATCGTGAACACGGACAAAATGCAAACGCTGACGCATTCCAGAGCAAACCGAGCTTCTTGTAATATGGTTTGTTTTTCACCTGGCTGAAAATAAAAGATGGACACAACAACATTTCAACTTTTTGGCCTCCGTTGGTAAAATACCAGCTAGTGGGAAAACGCCATTACGTATTTTGGTAGGACTGAGTAGGCAATTCTGTTTGCAAGATATGGGGAAACCTTTGGTTGAGTGGCTTTGGGTGATACTGAATCAGCTGTCTGTTAGTTTCACCTCAACGAATAAGTCTTCTAAAACGATTGGCAAGATATTCAACTCTAAAAGCACTGCTTTTGAGAAATGTCAGGAAATCTGGACTGCACCTAGGATACACAAACGCACTGTGTGGAACAATGATTCAAACAAGGGCGGCAGGATTCATCTTGATTTGGAATGAAATCAAGCGAGATTACATTGATTACCGCCAGGACGCAGTTAAACACATATTCGTAAAGTTTTCCATCCACATTCTAGTAGGAAAGTAGGTTTTCTCCATGCGTTCAGTAGGGCAATTATCTATCGACCATACCTGAATCAAAAGGAGGGAATTTTCTAAGTAAATGACGATTGTTGACCATCATTCCCCCCTGACAACGAGGCTTTTTGAATTAATTATGTAGCGTTTTAAACTATGCGATCCAGTTCAACATCTATATAACAGAAAATTAATAAATTTCCGGGAGATCCTTCTGCAATTAGGTCCTTAGTTTCAACCCCGCTGAAATAAGTGTCACGTTCCAAGCTTCACTTCTGTATGATAGTTCTATGTTCAAATCAGATTTTGATTGTTTTGCTCATAAATCGCTCGTGGCCGAACGGTTCAACTGTTCCCCGAGGAGCTGTAAGTCCAAATCACTGAGGAAATTAGCAGGATGCGCGCCACCGACCACTCCTAACAAGGACGAAATAGCTGTACTTTGCTCCTCGGATTTTTAGCATAGACTAACCTCAGTTCAAACTGTCAAATAAAAATCGTCCTTCTAGACTTTGTCCAACCACAGTAAATTTTAGATGAACGTTTGTGTACAAACCACGAATGATACTCGCACCCACGCAGTTCCTTCTACCCGAGCCATGCTCAATGACTCAGAAGGGGAAAATTATGGATGGCGCGCAAATGTGGAGTCGGGGGCTCAACAGTGATTTATACGGTTTAGTCACCATGAATTAGTCGAAGATAATTTGGTTTTATATCAAAGCGGTCGTGGCGAATTCAAAAAACCAGTAGGCCCATTTATTTTAATCGCAGGGTAACACTCCGATACCACTAGATAAATTTCAGGCCTTGTGGGCTTACTTGTCTAGGGTTCATGCGTCTTCAGGCCTGCAAGAGCGAGCTGTTCACAGGAACATACCCAAACACTTTACTGACATCATTACGCACTAAAACCTAATGTGCAAAATTCACCTTATATGCTTCGCCGAAAATTTTGTTGTCGAATCACGTGGTACGTCTGATTTGACGGCGATGATATGACGCCTTTCATCAGATATTCCTAATACAAGTCACCTTGCATTGAAGTTGTCCTATCTTCTAGTGTATTATGAAATTCTCTAGTGAAGGATCGTGGTGGGACGACACGGCTCCCACAGTTGTTCCTATAAATAGCCCAATGTGAAAGACTGTGCTGTCGACAGCGGTTGACTTAATTACCGTGCTTGCATGTTAGCAAACGGAAACCAATCATTCTACGTTTAGAATATATAATAAAGATGGTGGATTTTTGGTTGAAACAATCTGTCGCTGATCGTAACAGGATCAACTAGAGGTTGTCTCACGTCTGTTGAGGCCATCTTCAGCGTTCTTTGCCCCGCTCACCAATGAGACTTTCATCAATAATCAATAAGGACACAGAAAAATTTCTGGGTGCAATGTGCTTTCTGTTGAAGATCCCTTACTGGATATTTTGCTGTAATGTCATGCGGCAAAGCGCCAGAACCTGCATCTACTTTGTTGTCTATCAAAAGTGTACAATGCATCGAGAATCGACCAACTACTATTTTTGGCAGCCAAACTCTTGTCGCCCAAGTGGTAAGTCGAGGACTCGTCCTTCACACGTCACTTTATGCATCCTTGACTGAAGACAATCGTCCGTTTTTCTTCTGTCTCATTTCAAAATGGCAAAATCATTTATAATACCTTGAAAACCAGTTGAATTTGTCCACCTACCTCAAGCTTTAAAGCTTCGATTTCCAGTAACATCACGCAAATCAAAATCAGAGCGTCCAGCGAAGCTAATGCAATAATGGCAATGTTGACAGGCATTGAATGCAATCGATCGGCCAAGTCCCGTCGGCACGCGCTCCAGAAAGCCGTCTGTGGGATAAGGGACTCTGCCTTTGGTTGTAGCCACATGGAATAGCGTCGTAGCTGTTCTGCGTATTCCGGATCCTCTGCCTCTTCGGCCTCCAGCCAATCGTACGTCTCATCTTCTGAGGTCTGACAGGTAAAGTCTGTCATAGTTGATGGGACGGAAATTAATCTACATCGGAATAATCACATAATGATAGGGTAGTGCTGAAGTTCAGTTGGAACAGTTTACACTTAAATATATTGACTGATTGTGGTTAAAACCGTTCTACAACTATTCTTGGCGCCTCAAGACTGTCCTGGTTGTGACGATCGATTGACCCGTCCGTCAGGATTGTGTCAGGATGTGAATATGAACAGTACACATCCCGCAACCCCACAAAACAGAAATCAAAAATTGTCCAGCAGCTTTGGAACGTCTGTGGCGTTACCTGACTGGGAAATGTGAGTCAATCGTAACGATTTTAGTGGTGCGAATATATTCAAGGTCTATGGTTCTAACGTTTGGACATTCCGTCAAAATGATTTGCGTGGTTGACGAACATACGCCGAAAATCAAAACACTGAATAACCAAATGATGGCTTAGAATGGATCTTTTATATTATATCCTGAAAGATAATACAAGGATAATAGCAGATGAACAGATGTGACCTGCTAATTATTCCATTCCATGTTGCATTTCTGTAAGGTAACCTTTGAATAAGGCAAGATAATTCGAAAGTTTTTTTCGTTTATTTCCTCGTAGAGAGGCGACTGGTCCGAAAAGCCGCCTTATTTATCACGAGCTTCACGTAGCTCAAAATTTTTTCGTATATTTTACCGTGAACCAAACGATGTGCTGACTGACAGTCTTCATTTCACTGGGTTACAGTGAAAGGGAAGATTGTAGTTTATTCTGGTGAGTCCACACCAAAGGGGAAAGCGCTGGACTCGATTTTCTCTCTTGTTAGAGCTCATCAGCAGTGCCTATGCAATGGCCGTGCAGCAGTCAGAATTCCGTATATCTGATACGCGAGTCGAGCGTGTTACTACTATTCTATTAGCACACATTGCAAGAACCTGAATCTTGACGTCTGTACAGGCGAACTTGTTCACTTTTGAGTGATTTGATCGGTGTGTCCGGCTCATCGAACAACGACCAGGTAACTGTCCTGGTTGTGACGATCGATTGACCCGTCCGTCAGGATTGTGTCAGGATGTGAATATGAACAGTACACATCCCGCAACCCCACAAAACAGAAATCAAAAATTGTCCAGCAGCTTTGGAACGTCTGTGGCGTTACCTGACTGGGAAATGTGAGTCAATCGATCGTCACAACCAGGACAGTTACCTGGTCGTTGTTCGATGAGCCGGACACACCGATCAAATCACTCAAAAGTGAACAAGTTCGCCTGTACAGACGTCAAGATTCAGGTTCTTGCAATGTGTGCTAATAGAATAGTAGTAACACGCTCGACTCGCGTATCAGATATACGGAATTCTGACTGCTGCACGGCCATTGCATAGGCACTGCTGATGAGCTCTAACAAGAGAGAAAATCGAGTCCAGCGCTTTCCCCTTTGGTGTGGACTCACCAGAATAAACTACAATCTTCCCTTTCACTGTAACCCAGTGAAATGAAGACTGTCAGTCAGCACATCGTTTGGTTCACGGTAAAATATACGAAAAAATGTTGAGCTACGTGAAGCTCGTGATAAATAAGGCGGCTTTTCGGACTAGTCGCCTCTCTACGAGGAAATAAACGAAAAAAACTTTCGAATTATCTTGCCTTATTCAAAGGATACCTTACAGAAATGCAACATGGAATGGAATAATTAGCAGGTCACATCTGTTCATCTGCTATTATCCTTGTATTATCTTTCAGGATATAATATAAAAGATCCATTCTAAGCCATCATTTGGTTATCCTGTGTTTTGATTTTCGGCGTATGTTCGTCAACCACGCAAATCATTTTGACGGAATGTCCAAACGTTAGAACCATAGACCTTGAATATATTCGCACCACTAAAATCGTTATTTCATTGATGATTTTGCCCGCGTTTTTCCTCATTTGTTATGAGGCTTTCGTGAAAGCCTTCAACCTGCACTAGAGGCTTGGAGAATCTTCGTTAATTTGCAGGGTTCTTTACTCCAAAATAAGTGATTTTTAATATTCTATACTATTGAAAATACACACACTGCGTGTTCAACTTCGTTCGATTGTGTTTTCTTACCCAAGATTCACTTGCTTACGTAATTAGTCTACAGATCCATCGAAAAATGGTTTAAGATAGCTTTTATCTTATATTTTTTTGTAAAAATGTTTGACGAACACACCCTACTTCAGTGAACCTTATCATTATCCCCTTGGCTCATTTTTCTAGCCGACACCACCCCTTGAAAAAAGCATATTTACTGGGGACCAGTCACTCTATTTATGGGCCACGTGAGCTGATATGAGAACCACGGACCAAACATGCATCCCTCGGAAGAGAAAATTCAAAAGGCGGCAGATTTTGGAAGATGAGGTTGACAGCAACGCCTATAATTCACGCCAGTTATCGTCATCATCATCAAAGTCAGTAGCATTATTGTCGGCACTGATAATTCACTTCCGTAAAACCATAAAGCTCATCTAACTATATTTAAAGCCAAGAGTAAAAAGGCAAGAAAAAGAGGGAGGGCACCAAGTGATAGGCTATTTCAAGCATTCGCAGGTGCTTACAAATCCAAGCGCTCAATCAGACAACCTGGAAAGAAACTGCCAGTACACGTGACAGGCATCGATCAGCCGCCATTTCTTGCAATGTCTCTAGCCGAGCATAGGTGAGGTCACTGAGACCACATCCTGGAAGACGTACCAAATCAAGAACACCCAAAATCTTCGTAGTCTACTTCAGACCCTTCTGCCAATTCGTATGTCGTTCACCTCACGGTTTCCGCCATTACGAAGAGAGCACGGAGGACAACACTTGTCTCAGTAGGTGGTGTTTTGGCATGCGTAGCACATGACCGGGCCGTCGTAGTTGATGATGCTGGATATTTTCTCGGACTGAAGTTCCTGCCGCACAACCAAATACCGTTTCCTAATCACTTCGTAACCAACGCCCTGACGCCATCCAAAGCCAGCGACGCTCCCGAGACGGCGGTTGTCAAAAATCTGAAGAAGCCTCACATTGCCGCAGGGCAGAGGCCTTTTCTCGGACTGAAGTTCATGCCGCACGACCAAATACCGTTTCCTAATCACTTCGTAACCAACGCCCTGACGCCATCCAAAGCCAGCGACGCTCCCGAGACAGCGGTTGTCAAAAACCTGAAGAAGCCTCACATTATCCGTCCGCAGGGGCCATGTCATAAGCCACCCATAAGACAACACAGGTCACGCTTGGTACACGCGAGCCTTGGACCCAATGATACACCTTTTTGACGCCACACGAGACGAACATTAGCAAAATGTCATTTTGGCCTTTGAGATCCTTGCACTGACTTCCTCAGACATTTCCGTTAGGGCTAATACAACTACAGAGGTATGGGAAATTCGTCATAACATGCAGTGATTCTTGAATTGTAGGGGGTATATTCAGAGACTGCATGTCCTTGAACATAACTTTGCACGTGAAGGTGCACGTCAAAAGGTGGTATGATGGTAGTTGGTCTGTTCAGCAAGGTTTGTACTTCGCTTAGGTATCCAAAGAAGAGGGCGATGTCACCTGCGTCTAGATCGACAAGGTTCTTACGGGCAACGATTTGAACACCGGGGTTTTGAAGACCGTCCAGCGTCCGCCTCATTAGCCAATTAATGAGAGAGCTTTACAGGAACGGAGAGGGTGGACATCCTATTCGGACACCACTTTTTGTTGGGAATATTTTGGAGAGCTCAAAATACACTCTCAATCGCCAAGAATATATAGGGATCGAATTATGTTCGCAAACTTCTGGGGCATACCCTGTTGATCAAGTGTAGTTAACAGCACTGGCTGACTGACGGAATGGAAGACACTCCTGAAGTCGAGGTATACCAAGATTGTGGGTCGTCTGTACATATGGCGTTGCTCCACCACCTCACTTAGTGTGAAGATGTGGTCAACACAGCTCCTAAATGCTCGAAATCCCGCTTCATACTCACGAGTCAAGTTTTCGTGTGCTACTGTAAAACGTCGTTAAACAGTGGCACAACAGAAGTCGAACTGACACCCCTGTGAGTACTACATTCACTGCGAGTACCATTTTCGAAAGTGGGCACTACTACCTATTCACTCCAGTTGTCCTGGACGGTCTTTTTCTTCCAGATGTACCCAATTAGGCTAGAATGGCTGAGAAATCCACCGCCCTCCTTGAAGAGATCAGGTGAAAGTCGTCAGGACCAGCGGCACGATGACGGCTGGCAAGGTAAATACGCTCGGACAACTATGAGACTGGAGGCTGCTCCATATTCACAGTTCACCTTTCTGTTGAGAGCTAGGATTTCAGATTGGAGGCAGCAGGTGACCAGATGAATTGCTGTTCGAACTACTGTGTCCAGCGGTCCAAACGTTGTGCTTTGCTTCATATCATAGAGCCATTTTTGTTCCAGATTATTTCACTAACAAGAGGTTTCAAATGACCATTCGAACAAGTCAAGTGTAACAGCTTGTGGATGTCCTTAGGATTTTTCGCATCTTCAATTTATTCCGTCTTTTGGGTCCAACATGGATACTCAGTTTCACCTGGCATCGGATGATACGCCATGTGGGTTTGTGGTTGCGTCCACGAGGAATCTGTCGTCAGACCTCCATGAAAGACACGGTTCTATCAGAGATCCAATGTTTGGATCATGTTGGTTGGTTGTAGCTTTGAGCAGCGCTTTGGATAAATTTCCCGAGTTGCCGTTTATATCTGATATCGGACCATCCGGCAGGCGTGCGACAAGCTGGTTCTCGTCATTTGAATTCTGAGTCCACTAGCTTCGCAATGGCTGAACAAGGTGTGAGCGTTTTGCGTAGACCTACAAAGCGCAATGAGAAACAGCAACGGCGTACAAAAGCGTGGTCGGAGTCCACGCTGATGCACCAGAAGGAGCGGTAAGTACTGATCTACCCTCGCCACCGCTGACGGCGATGTGGTGTATTTGGTTTTGTGGTCGGTGTGTTGGTGGGCACCAAGCTGTTAAGCGACTTCCGCCGTTCCGGAAGTTAGTATTAATCAGCACAC